TGCAATTTTGATCTCGACCAATGCTGCTGCCAGAAGCTAACTGAAATGGTGACTGCGACAAATGTGAAGCTGTTGAAGATGGGCTTGATTGATCGCTTGGCTGGCAGCGCTTTGACAGCGTTGATCAAGTTGAAGATCAAGGAACATATCAACGACACCTGCGTTGGGATATTCGATAGAAGTCATCTTAAGCAACTTGAAACGGTAAATAGATAATTATAATCATCAAATACCTCTAGCTCTGGTAATTTACATAAATAATTTATGTTTTCTCTTAGTGGATCAACGACGTAGTTATGACATGGTTAACTAGCATATTTACTGAATGGAAGTCGAAAGATGGCGTATCTCAAGAGAATATTCCCAAATCGGTTCAATCGTTTAAAGTAAAACTCACATATTTTATGTATGAAACATTTGCACAAAATGTGATCAGTCAATTCTTTAGTATAATTATAGGTAATTTATATAATAATAATATTGTCTCTTTTCTTGGATATACATTTTTGACTAATATCATTTATTTTCAGATTATCCGGACTCTTCGCCAGCCATAGATGATTTAAAGATTTGTATGGAGAAAATTGATATGCGAGTCTATCTAACTGAATCGCTCAGAAGTTCCTTAGAGGCAAGAATTTTGCATCCTGGTGTCAATACTATGGATATATTGACTGGCTACGTTGCAGCAATAAAGGCCATACGCCATCTAGATAACACTGGAGTGATATTAGAAATAGTCACAGCCCCCATAAAAGATTATTTACGAAAACGTAACGATACGGTTAGACGAGTTGTCACTGGCTTAACTGAAGAAGGGCCAACGGATCTCTCTGAAGAATTAGCTAAAGGGGAATTTATAAAATATGGCAAAGATGCTGGAAATAATGAATATAGCAATTGGGAGAATTGGGAGCCGGATCCATTCGGAATAGATCCCAATGTCTTAGAGCTAAACAACTCGAAAGTGATTCGTTCTGCAGATATTATATCCATGGTAGTCGATATTTATGGAAGTAAAGAACTTTTTATGGTGGAATATCGCAATTTGATGGCCGACCGTTTATTATCTCAACTTGATTTTAATTCCGAAAAGGAAATTCGAAATCTAGAATTGCTTAAAATCAGATTTGGCGAATCCCTTCTACATAGTTGTGAAGTTATGCTGAAAGACGTCACTGATTCAAAGCGCATCAATGCGCATATTCATGGCGATGAGAATTCTGATGAGAGTAAGTAAATAAATTTATTAAATTTAGTGATCAGTAAATGCCATTTTTAACATACTTCTATTCTAGGTCCATTATTTGATATATCGTCTCTTATTATATCGGCTCAATTTTGGCCGTCATTTAATAAGGAGAGCTTGCAGCTGCCTGTTGAGCTTGAGAACGAATTTAAAAAGTTCACAAAAGCATATGAGTCTTATAAGGGAAATCGCACTCTCAATTGGCGCACGGTGACTGGAAGAGTCAATATTGTGATCGAAATCGGTGACAGAGTATTGGAGATGACGGTGCCACCAACTCAGGCTGTAATTATTTACCATTTTCAGCATAAAAGTAAGAGATTTCCCATGTAACTTATAATGCTTAGAGCTCTTACTAATAACTTTTTTATTTATAGATGAATGGAGTTTGGAAGAACTAAGCAGCCTTATCAAGGTGCCCCCATCAGCGCTTAGGCGACGCATTAGTTTTTGGCAAAATCATGGCCTGATCGCTGAAATAGAACCGGGAGTTTTTGGCCTTTTGGAGAAAGAAACTGAGAAAACACAATTCGAAGATGTTAACATTACAGATGCGGACGAGGAGGACTTGGAATCAGCTATGGCTTCGGCCAGTGATCAGCGGGAAGAGGAACTTCAAGTAAGTGAAATTTGACCGAATTAAGGAAATTTCATTGAGTTATTTATATTCTGTCTAGGTTTTCTGGTCTTATATTGTTGGCATGCTTACAAATTTAGATTGTATGCCAATCGACCGTATTCATCAAATGCTGAAACTATTTGCTTCGCACAGCGGAGGAGTTGAATTTACCCAAGACGAGCTAAAACACTTTCTGCAAAGGAAAGTTCGCGAGCACAAACTTTTGTTTTCTGGTGGAGTTTATCAGTTGGCTAAATAAACGATATCTATTTACTGTTTATATTATTCATAAACTTTATTTATATTTTTCAGCGTAACTGGTTTTAGTTTGAAAAAGTAGAAGACCGTAGGGATAAGTAATAGACTAATCACAGCAGGGTTCAGCAGAGAGCAGACATTGGAAGTGAAATAAAGATATTCTATTATCATAAATTGAGCATTCTTTATAAGAATATACCGGATTGTCAATAACATTCCAAATACAATCTGCTCGTATGCTGTTAGGTAGTTAAATATGAATTGGGGACTTTTAAATAAAAATAATTATAGATTGTGTGCATTTAAAACATCCAGGGTTTTAATAAAAACAATATTACTACAATTTACATATAGGTCATTACAGTTAAGAGACTTATGAACAAATAAGACAACAGAAATGAAGTATTTCTATGCATTTATTACACAGTTTCTACAAATTCATCAGTACGCATAATATTATAATGTGATTTTACAAGATGTGTTTTATTAGGATTTCTGTTAGCATTTGTTTTATGAGTTTCAAAGCTGGAAACCTATTATATGTTTTGGTTTTATATTATTATTTTCTTTCCTTTTAAATAATTTGCATTAGAACTAGTATTTAATTAGATCCATTTGACGATTTTGTAGAACAGTTCCCGCCCAAAATGTACATTGATTTGTTTGCGTCCCGTTCACTACCATAGATTTTTCCAGCTTTTTTAGCCATCGATCCTAACAGATCTTGCGACATTTTGTGGGCAGATCTTAATGACAACGCCCATTCCTTCAAACCAATTTCATCCTATAGAAAAGTTGTTTTTATTAAATAGATATTCGATAGCAATTCTTAAACGAAATATATAATTACCGAATTTGTCAAAATAATTCTGCCATCTCGGCTACCGTCATTGACACGAATTTGAATACATTGTTCATTTTTATAGTGAACAAAGTCAGATGAAACATCTTCCACTTGGTCCAAGAAAATAAGTTCTGGCTTGTTATTACCACTCTCGGAATACAATTCCAAGCTGAATAAAATAAAAGGTAAATATGTTTCCATTTGATTAACTGAAATAAAATACACTTATATCATACCGATTTGGATATAGCTTGGCATATTTAGTTTGCCATAATGATGCAAATGATCCGCCTAATTTTTTAATGTAACCATGTAATATACAATCGGATTCTTTTTCATCTGCATCGAAATGTTGTTTTTGTTTAGACTTCTTCTTCTGCTCTATTTTATCAGTTTCCGTGTTTATTGTTTCGAATACAGTCTCAGCTACTTCCTGTTGCCACCTAAAGAAATAAAGATTATGGATCCAAAGAATATGTATGAAATTGTCATATTTTTATATAGTAAAGAGTTTCTTTTGACAATTGCTCACCTTTCGGATATAGTTAATGAGAAATGCTTATAGAGATCCTGATCATTGTCATTTAACTTAATACCTTTTGTATCTTCTTCATCAAAGGAGCCAATATCAAAGGCATCCGCCGCATTCACCTCGCCCCGAGGCGGTACCAATGGTGGGGTGTATTTTTGGATATAAACCTGATGCCAGTCAATGCCAGAAAAGAAACTATGCATTTTAACTTCATCAGCGCTGAAAAGGAAAAGGGAAATAGTTTGAATATGAAAACATTTTAGTTGACCCTTGAATTTTACCCATTTCCCATGCAGCCGAGACGTTTTGGCACATCTCTTTGAAGAAGCAATTCCAACAGATTTCTTAATTCTGCTGAAAATGAGTCCGGAAGCTCAACATTCTACGGAATGAAAAGAATTTAGTAATTAAAACTTGTATTAATTAACATTTTCTTACCATGGTTAATGTCATTCTGTCGATCTCATGCTTATCTTTTGTTTTATGTTGTCGAAATGGAGAATGTCCCTTTAGCAGCTTGTATAGCATGCAACCAAAGCTAAACCAGTCTGCGCATGAGTCGTAGGATGTTCCTTTCGATAATACTTCTGGTGACATATATCCGTGGGTGCCCACTGAAGCGTGGGGCTTCTTTTTGGAATAATCGCATGCTAAACCTAAATCCGATATTCGAATGTGACCATTTTCATCCAGCAATATATTAGCAGGCTTCAAATCGCGGTACACAATGCAGCGCTTATGCATATGCTCCAAGCCCAAAATAACCTAAAGAAAAGAATATAATTAGCAATGTATATATATTTGTCTTATCGATTTTGCTATTACCTCGGCTGCGTAGAATTTCATTTCATCTTCGCTGAATACTCCATGCTGTGATAGGTGGTAATGCAAGTCGCCGCCATTCATTAAATCTAATATAAAACATAATTTATCCGGGGTGTGAAATGCATATGTCATGCACACAATAAAAGGGCAATCAATCTATATTAAGCAAATGAAATGGACATTAGTGCAACAGCAATTATATATAGATATTATATTATTGTAACTTACTCCTGTACTAACTGCTTGTAGCATATTGCGCTCGTTCAATGCCAACATTTCGCCTTGTTTCATTTTAATACGCTTCTTGTCTAAACATTTCATTGCGTACATTTTGCCAGTATCGGCTTTTCGACAGCCGTAGACCTCGCCAAAGCCACCACGACCAATTATTCTATGTACGCTAAAGTCATTCATTGATAACTGAAAATAATTATGCATTTACTTTCATTGTGCTTTCAAATTATATAAAATAGTTTATTTACATACTTGTATATTTAGCTCCAGGTTCTTCCATTGGCAAAATCTTGTAAATTTGTCACTGTACAAATATCAAAATGGTATTAAGTAATGTAAATTTTGTATGTTATAAAATTAATATAAGGATTGACGCCCAAGTATATTCATAGTTCGGAGTTGATCTTATAATTTTCAATAAATAAATAAAATAAATTTAATTTGGAATACACGACTATCCAAATTGAGTTTCCCATAGTCTGCCATATTTATATTCTTTAAATGTTTTTATATTATATTATTCAATATTTCAATTTTAATATATACAAAATTTAGGATGTTTTCTTGCCCAACTTTATTGCTACGAAGTTAGTGAATAATAGTTATATTATTGTTTAAATTTATTTCAAATAATTTAAAACAATACATACCTTTCCAGAAATTTTTTGAATGGTTTTCCTTTAAGCTGGCCAAAGATTTCTTCCATGTAGGGCTGCAATAAAAAATAATTACTGATTACTTAAAATTCGAAAAAATCGAATGTGCACTTTCTAGGTATAAGTAAATATTAAACAGGAAATAAAATAAAAATCATACATTCGTAAAATTTAATTCAAAGAAATTCTGAACAGCCTACATAATAGCAACCAAAATAGCTGGATATTTATGCCCGTATGTTACGATGACGTCAGTATAAAGTTTTCTAATGCATATATGGTTGAGGTATGGTTTCTATGTTTTATTCGAATATGTGTAAATAAATTGGAGTCATTCAAAAAATTCCATTGAAGTGATTGGTTTTATTATGTTTTTTTTTGGAATGTTATAATATACTCTAAACGCTATGCTATTACTTTTCTTTAAAAACGATAAATATATATCTACAATTTTCATTAGATACTTACTTCAAATAAATTCACAGGAACTTCATTTTTTAATAAATACTTTTGGACATTTGCAACGGCATCTTTGGAGTATTCCTATTTAAAATATAATAGCAAACATATAACTTCAGATTTCCGCATGCCTGGAATACCTACATAAGTATGTGACAGCATTTCTTCCATTATAAAATTATCATAAATTTCTCTGGCCAGCTTTTTTCGCTCGTCGAAACATTCTGTTTTCTCAAAATTTTTAATCTTTAAAGTAAAGTATTCAAGAATATTAGTTAGAAATATTGCATACATATTCGTAGATATTTAATTATTAGTAATACCTGCTCATAGAACTTCAACTGTTGAATTGGCTCTTCAGAATCATTCTCACAGAAATCCTTAAACAACAAGTATCCTAGGACGAATTGAAATAGTAATTGATTATTATCGGCCAGATTGTGATCTCTTAAGATTATTATAAGTACCTATAATCTGATTAAAAATGTTGTGAAAGTTGAGTTGATTTTCCTTTTCAAGGTATTTGTACATAACGCTTCTAACGCTGTAAAGAAGATTTATACAGTTTAAGTACAGCGCTATGTAGAAATAAAGAAGTTATTGAGGATATGTTTGATATTCGAAGGGTA